ACTCTCAGACTGAAGAAGTCTCTTGGAGGAGAGACGAAACGTTTCATTAGAGAAGAACCCGTCCAGAAGACCTATACAATTTTTTTCTTTTTGACCAAGAATGCTGCTTGCCCACTTGCTATGTATATACAGGCAGAGTGTTTTTTCTCTAAAGCCCAGCTGCCACGATATTTTCAAAATTTATAAGACAGATTGACAGCTGTTGAACTTGTTTATGTTTTTCTTTTGAACTTGTATTCCTTCTGAGCCAAATTGATTGGAACTTTTTTGGGTTTTATTTATTTTCATTTGATGTGCTTTTATATAAAGTGGCTTTGCTTCCTCTGAAGCAATTAATTATTTCCATAAAAGTGTGCATATTTGTTTTGTTTGTTTCTTAAGACAAAAAGGGCAAAAAATAAATAAGTAAAACAAATTGGTGTTCAAAGTCAAATATTACCAATCCCTTTCAAAGGATTATGAGTTGAAGTATTTATACGTGACTTCTTAAATGCTTTAAAAAGTCAGAAAGGTGGCAAAAATACATGGAAAAAAATGTGCAAAGAGCAGAAAACCCGAGAAAAAGCAAAGGTCAAGTTTCCAGCAACTCACTATTTAGTTACATCAAGTTGCAAAGCAAGCTTGAAAACTTGTGAACCCTACAAAATCTGAGATTTACCTTTGACCTGCTGTTACGCTTGTTAGGAAACGGACCGAGAACACAGACGTACAATAGGAGCTCAAAACTAAATTTACTGTACGTTGTTATAAAAACAAAACGGCCGATGTGAAGGCAAATTCAGCTTACAAAATACTTGAGAAGGAGATCTTGGAGAAACATGAGGAGGACCAGTAATGCTCGAGTGGTGTGTGAGGTGAAAAAGAAAACAACCCAAACTGTCCTGAACACAAAAAACTGAACACAAGAGGATAAAACAATGAACCAATAAAACAGAAATTTACAAAAAAAACTGTCACAAAAACAGCAGAAAAACACAGCCTGCATGTTGAGGCTGTGGTTGCTGCATCACTCAAAGCTGACTAATAAAATTAAATATTTTGAGTTGCCATTTGCAGCATATCTGCAAAAATATTCTCTAAATATAAAAAGCACTACTTGATATTCACTTATTTTATGAAGCACATCTGAATACAAAGCTTATTTCTTCTTGAGTCTTAACAGTAAACGTTAGATTTATGGTTTCTACTATTCTTTGTGCAGCTTTTCCRCAGTGTCTCGTCTCACCTGCCGCTGCATCGTTTGTGTGCATGTGTGAGTTTAACAGCTGTGTCGTTGTCGTCCTCTGYAGAATGACTCCATCCCGCAGGAGGACTTCACTCCAGATGTGTACAACATGTTTCTGAACAACATCTGCCCTCGACCTGAGCTGGACCACATCTTCTCTGACGTGTAAACAAGCTCCTTCGCTACCAGTTTAGAATGATCAATGTGTTTTATTTTGTGTTTCAGTCATCTGTTGCTTTTTGTTTAGCAGTCCCATTGAAGACAGCTTCTTTTATCCGTGAAAGCAATAAATCATGACAATGAATTGGCCTTGATGTGGGACTCTTTAAGCCCCGCCGTTACCCCCCACCCCATCCCCTCCCCAAACTGTAGAGGCAGGACTGCCTGCTTGGCCCCGAGTGACTCAGATCATGAGCTGAGCCAGCATGACAGCACGACTGGTGTCACTGCAGGTCATAAATCTAGATTTTAATTACAGCTAAGTGAGRCGGCATAAGAGCCAGGAGAATATGGAGGAGTTAATTTAGTGAAACAGTTTCAGATATGAAAGGCATTTTAATCAGATCTTACAATTTACTGAAAGTCTTTAATCATCTTTTTATTCTTTTTTCATACTTTTCACTCCAGATCTGTGTCTTTACTGCAGCTCCTCCTCTCCTTTGTTTTGTTTTTTTAATTCCTCAGTTCTTAGTATTTGTCCTCATCTCCACATCTGTCTTGTGCAGCTGTTTGTTTTCTTTGACCTTCTTCATTTTATTTATTTTTTTGTTGTTGCTGTTGTCGTCGTGTCGCCTCTAACCCCCATCGGCCCTCTCCGCAGCGGGGCCAAAAGTCGACCGTACCTCACAGTGGAGCAGATGACGGASTTCATTAACAATAAACAGCGGGACCCCCGTCTGAACGAGATCCTCTACCCTCCCCTCAAACCAGAACAAGTTCAGCTGCTGGTGGACAAGTATGAACCGAACTCTCTGCTGGCACAGAAAGGTCAGTGGCTCAGCTTTGTGCCGCAAACGTGCTTGTGCGTTCACTGAAAAAACAAACTTTGGGGTGTAGTAACATTCATTTAATTCTTTTAAATTTTACAAAAAATATCAAAATCTCTAAACTACAAGAATTTACTAAATAAACAATACACATTATATTATATATGAGTATTACTGTACAAAAAAAGAAAATGCTAATATTATTTTACCAGTAATATTTAAGTGCTTTTCCTGGACAGCACATAAACATGAATATATTAAGTAATTTCTACTCTTCTGGGCCAAAACTGAGGGTGCATGCGCACCCAAAGGCTGCTGCTCCTCATTCCCTTGCGTCACTTTTCAAGGAGAGGACAAGACATGGTCGAAATTAAACACAAGTTGTCTGGTTTCTTTTGTTTGAATACATTTGTTGGTGTGCAATAGTTTGATGGCGTAATGTAGCCGGTGAATGTTAGCAGTGCTAGCT